TATATTTATTTTGTATTTTGTTCTATATAATTAAGGTCTATAAATCCACTAATGTTTGGATAATATTATATTTAATATATAGACCTAATATACTTACTTACTCGCCTTCAAAGTGTTCAGCAAACCCCGGGGGGATTTACTCTTAGTAAGTCTAGTTGGTCTATATCTTGAATATAATATTATCCAAAAATAAATGGATTTATAGGCCTAGATAGAATAGAACAAAATAAATGTATTTATAGGCCTGAACTATTACATCAGCGATTGAAAGAAAAGAACAGGTAAAGTTGAAAGTTGTTGTTAAATTACAACAAGTAGTATTTAAGGAATTTAATAAATGAAGAATCACAAACTAGAGATGATTGAATACAATATATCTGAATTAAACAAGAGATAATAAATCTATGGCGATTATTATTTTCATACACAAACTAAGCTAATATTGAATGAATTAAGTGAATAGAAGACGGGTCTTTAAATGGCATTTAAAATAAACACCTTCTCGTATTATCAGAACATTTCTTCGTTTCGTTGTGAATTTTACAGCAGAATAAAAAAAATACGCGGGAAATAAAACGAATCCCGATCATCAAGTTGCGTTATCCCTATTTCATTTTGGAGAATCAAAGACCGGTAATGGGAGTTTAGGTATCTACAGGTAGATACACCCAATAGCAATTTACCTTCTGATAGTTAAACCTACAGGTAGGTAGATAGTTAGATACATTCAATAACAATTTACCTTCTGATAGGTAAGCGGCGTTTAGGTACCTACAGGTAGATACATCCAATAACAATTTACCTTCTAATGATACAATAATACTAGAATTTGAAGATAACCTGGAGCAGATTTGTTAATAGATCGATAAGTTAAAGATCATATTTTAAAGTTGGTCCTTTCTGGAACTTGGAGCCAATGTTATTTGTTTAAGACTAGTGTGATGTCTGATCTGGATTTAGTTTTAGTGACAATGTAAGCAGCATTGTTTTGGCAATCTTTGAAGCTTTGCAACTTCTTCGTCCGTAATACCAGTTAGTAAAGAATTACATGGTCGATTCCTGACAGGATAAAGGCCCAAGCTAATGTTGCACAAACATCTTCTGCGATATTTTACAGAGCCTGTGAGTAGAACCCACAACTTCATCGTTGACATTTAGCATGTTACAATGACATCCATTGTTTAACATTATATAAACAACCTTCCAGATTCATACCTTTCAATATCTTTATCAGAGGATTGACACATGTTGGTCTCTTGTTGTTATAAAGATTAAAATCATCGGAATATTAAATAAATATGGCATGGATTTAATATTGATGTCAATACTAGCCAGTGATCATTAGTGTGTTGAAGTCGATCTATTTTTCTTTGGTAAGAGTTACCTCCCATTATAACCCAACAACTCCCCACCTCACCTCTTGTACCTGACATTTAATGAATAAATTATAAAATACTAGAAATAAATACAGACATGAGACAATTAGTTTATTATTAAATCAAATATATTCCAATTGTATAAATTGACAAACAAACAAACAAACAATATTTATTATTACAATCGAATTGTTTGTTTGTTTGTTGGGAGGGGAGGGGGCGTAAATTCTGTCATTGGGTTAAGTGGAGTGGTTTCGATTCCCAGCTTGCACGTGACTCACTGCTATATATGTGAAATTCCGATCATAAGTTGTAGGGGAGGGCGACTGGTCTATCTACAACTGTCTGGGGGATCTTGAACGTTCTGCCATTAATATACACTTTCTGAACAAATAGCCGGTTTCCTCCCACTGCTAAAGACCCCTACGCGCAAGCGAATGATTGAAATAAAATTAAACCATGTTAGTCCCGAAATGACCTAGTTTGTGTCGAGTGGACACCCCATTTCTCCCCCTCTCTCTGAACAAATAGACACCGTTTTTCTGTTCAGACTGTCTGTCATGGACCACTGATTGGAAAAGTAATAAGAAACGTTTAGATCATCACCAAAATCGAACCCTGAACATCCTGGTCAGTGATGAGGCAACGTCATAGGCTAATCACAAGCTGACAAACTTCTTGATATTTCTTTCATAGACCCCTACACGCAATCGAATTAATGAAATAAAATAAACCATGTTAGTCCCAAAATGACCTAGTTTGGGTGGTGGATTAGTTGTTCAATAGTTGGGGGTTAAACAGCAATACCTAGAATGGGTGGGCTACGATAGTTGCCGGGTGTGGGTGTGGACGGGGTGGGTACGATAGTTGCCAGGGGTGGGTGTAGACGGGGTGGGTACGATAGTTGCCGGGAGGTGTGTGTGGGTGTGGAGAGGGTGGGGTACGATAGTTGCCGGGAGTTGTGTGTGGGTGTGGAGTGGAAGGGGTAAGATATGTGCCGGGAGGTGGAGATGTGTGCAGGGGTGAGGTATAATGAGACACTATTAAAGAAAACTACGTTTGACATCCTGTATAAAGTATTAAGTAAGGTATTGAGACTAACTCAGTTGTTTTTATGTAATATGTAATATACAATAAGGTTACTGGATATGATGATTGGGGTTTAAAGTTTTGTCCACATTATACGTAAGGTATTTTACCTGTAAACTATCACAGATACAAAGAATTCGTAAGGTTAGATGACAAATATTTTAGAGAAATAAAATAAATTAAATGGGGTTTAACGTCCTACTTTGCTGCCCCCAAGATGCTATTAAAGACGGACATAGGTGATAGAGTGCGATATGAGGGAATGTTGCCCTAAATGTGGCGCTGAGACACTAACAAGGGGGAAACAAAGCTGGAAAATTTGCCAGGACAGCTGCCTATGGCATACTACTCTTTATAATTCTAATTGTCAAGGAGTCTTTTACGTGCACGTTAACGTGTACACTGTACCTCGGTTGTTCATACTATCCGGTAGATTAGACGCTACCCTTACCATACCCCCCCGTCCTACATCACTAATAAAGGGAAACAACACTGGAAAATCTCTGAGAACTTTCTCGACCAAATTTGGCGATCGGCTCTTCTTCCAAATTCCAACTGTCAAGGCTTCTTTTACGTACACGCCTACGTATACAGGGACCTCGGTTGTTCTTCTCACCCGATCAAAAAGACTAGACCCTGTCCTTACCACATCCTCCATCTTGCGACGCTGGAAAATACCCGAGAACTTTCTTGGTTAACACCGGGATCGAATCATGTACTCCCTGATTAGCGAGCCAGTGCCTTACTCACTGAGCCACCACATTTCCCCAATCTTTTAGAGACATGTATTATGCTTGAATTTCACAAAGATTCAAAATTCCAAATATATTGGAGAGAGAGAGAGAGAGATGGGGTCTAACGCCCACTCGACACAAACTAGGTCATTTCGGGACTGACACACGCTTTATTTTATCTCAATAATTCGCTTGCACGTAGGGGTATTTAGCAGTGGGAGGAAACCGGAGGACCCGGAGAAAACCCACGAGGTTGGACAAGCGACCCTACTCCTTGTCACATACAACTGGGGAATCGAAACCAAGCCAGTTGACTCAAAGACAGACCTTATGATAAAACGCACACGCGCTAAATATTGTTTGGAAATGAGGAAGGAACAACAATTCATTCAGGATTGATCAATTAAGTCTCACAAATCTTGATAACTGTACGGTGAAAATATATTCATACAAACAGTAGTACATGTATATCAACACCTACATGTAGTTACCACCAAATTTTATTTACATCTCTTATCAAATGTCAAAAACACATATAAAGCCGCTGCCTTGGCAATCAATTTTGGTGGATGAAAGAGATTAAAAAAATGGTAGGAAATCTCAGGATTTGCTGAGAAGGCTGGGTATAAATGGGCTTCATCTAGTTCTCAATATAACAAGAGACAAAGAAGGTTTGTTTTACCAAATTTACAGAGAAAATATTAGCAGAAATAAAAAAGGAGTGACCCCGCAACTGGGGATCGGGGCAATCAGATGACAAATTCAGAATTGCGGCCTGTAGACGGTAAACACCAAAATTGGGATGGCTCTGCCTTTCCTTGGGGGTGGGGGGGGGATGGGACACGGATAAATATAAATAGGTACAACGCTGTTATTGAAATGACTGATCACGCCGAAGGGTTAACAAGTGAGACCAGTAGAGGATTTACAGATAAAATATTTACAAAAAAGTGGGTGTGGCACCGCCCCTTTTTTTCGGGGGGGGGGGGGGGCGTGCACGGTAGCTTAGTGAGTAAGACGCTGGCTCGCTAGCCGAGAGGTCACGGGTTGGCTCCCGGTGTTGCCCGAGAAAATTTGCCTAGTCATTCGGATTTGACGAAAAACCTAGGTCCCTTATACACATTGGCGTGCACGTAAAAGATCCCTTGGGAGTTGGAATTCGCAATAAGAGTAGGTCGTAGCGCCGCTGTTCTGGCAAAATATCAGTCATAGCCAGTGCCGGACCAAAGGCCCACCTGTCAGGCCATTAACCAAGGCCCACCTAAGTAAGCGCCGAAGTCGCACGAACGTCCGAGGGTTTTTTTTTTGGGGGGGGGGGGAGGTCTCCCCCCAGAAAGATTTTGAAAATTGACAACCACAAAACCATTTTCCAAGCATTTCACACCAAAGCAGAAAATGGCAAATTTTTGATTTCCTGATACACTTAGATAACAGATTTCTTTTCTTTCCTCCCCCTCTCCTGTCTTTCTTTTTTTTCTTTCTCTTTTTTCTTTATGGGCTTAGGCCCACATTTTTTAAATGAGCTTAGGTGGACAGGTGGGCCCAGTCCGGCACATTGTATGGTGAATGTCCGTCTTCATTAGACCAGTCGGAGCAGACCTATAGGACGTTAAACCCCATTTAATTTCATTTCACCACCCCTAGGGGTTGGACATGCACCTAAATAAAGGACATTGGGCATGGCTCTGTCCCTGGGGCTTGGGCATGCACCAAAGAATTGAAGTCTGTGGGCCAAACATAGACACAAGCGCAAAGACACGATTGAACGTATAAAAATAAACACGAGTTTTTGTAAACAGTATTTTTAATTGAAAATAAATATATACAAAAAAAATATTGAAGACATTTTAAATAAATTAAACAATAAAATAAACAATAAATATATACACAGTATTAGTCCTGTAGATAAAATACAAATACGTCATCAGTAGTTTTAACTGTTGACTACAGACAGTGTAATACGTCATCAGTAGTTTTAACTGTTGACCAGAGACAGTATAATACGTCATCAGTAGTTTTAACTGTTGACTACAGACAGTGTAATACGTCATCAGTAGTTGACTAGAGACAGTGTAATACGTCATCAGTAGTTTTAACTGTTGACTACAGACAGTGTAATACGTCATCAGTAGTTGACTAGAGACAGTATAATACGTCATCACTAGTTTTAACTGTTGACTAGAGACAGTATAATACGTCATCAGTAGTTGTATCTGTTGACTAGAGACAGTATAATACGTCATCACTAGTTTTAACTGTTGACTAGAGACAATAAAACTGTAAATTGTATGACTAGAGACAATAACATTATGTTGACTAGTTTACACGAATTATTATAACTTGTTTATTTTAATTTCATTTGATCTGTGATATATTTTATCTTTTCATCTTGTTCAGTGTCTGACATCCTACAATAATCTAGAACTGTTTGACTACGGTTATTCTTGACATGTAGATCTAGATGTAAACAATCAACTAGATATTGTACTGTAGATAAAGTACCAAACCTACATGCCTCGTGTAAGATGGTATCATTATAACTGTCTCTAACGTTAATATCAGCCTGATGACTGACTAGATATTTTATTTTATCTACAGGACTTACACGTGACATACAACAGTTAAATAACGGTGTCTGGTTGTAACGACCTGTTGTATTAACATTCATGTGTAAATCATCAACAAGATATTGTACTGTAGATAAAGTACCATGGAGACATGCCACGTGTAAGATGGTATTATAACTGTCTCTAGCGTTAATATCAGCCTGATGACTGACTAGATATTTTATTTTATCTACAGGACTTACACGTGACATACAACAGTTAAATAACGGTGTCTGGTTGTAACGACCTGTTGTATTAACATTCATGTGTAAATCATCAACAAGATATTGTACTGTAGATAAAGTACCAAACCTACATGCCCAGTGTAAGATGGTACTATTATCACTGTCTCTAGCGTTAATATCAGCCTGATGACTGACTAGATATTTTATTTTATCTACAGGACTTACACTTGATCTACAACAGTAAAATAACGGTGTACTGTTGTGCCAACCTGTTGTATTAACATTCATGTGTAAATCATTAACAAGATATTGTACTGTAGATAAAGTACCACACCAACATGCCGCGTGTAAGATGGTATGATTATGACTGTCTCTAGCTTTAATATCAGCCTGATGACTGACTAGATATTTTATTTTATCTACAGGACTTACACGTGACATACAACATTTAAATAACGGTGTCTGGTCCCAACTGTCTCTGACGTTAACATCTATGTTCACCATGTTTTTTATATCATCCAAAGTACCATGTCGACAGGCATCAAATAATTGCTGTTGTTGTTGTTGACGTGTATCTGTAATATACAACATGTTATACTATATTTACAGTTTATCAAGTCATATTTAATATTGTTTCAGGTAAGTCAGTCCTTGTTGGATATTATCTATACTAATATTTGTGACTGTCGTTTGTCTGTTTGTCTGTCTGTCTGTCTGTTCGGGGTTGGCGGCTACACTAGGTCTGGCCCGAGTCTGAATTTGGGGTATAGGGGTAGCTCGGACTGGGGAGTAACATGGGCCAGGCGGCGTTAGTCTACCACTTCCGGTTTCGGAGTTATGACCCCCGAGCGTAGCCGGGTATCCTGCTAGTATTATATATTAGAATAACTTACTTTTCTTAGCTGAAGTATCACTTGTATTACCAGACAAAGTATCATCTGAGGTACCACTTGTATTACCAGACAAATTATCATCTGAGGTACCACTTGTATTACCAGACAAAGTATCATGTGGGGTATCACTTGTATTACCAGACAAAGTACCAGGTAATAAATGTGGCTGAATGGTATCTGTAATATATAAGTCATATTTAATATTTTTCATCTAACTAGAATAACTATAAAGTTTATTATACGTCTTCTGACTTCAATGACGATAGGTATATGACGTAATAACTTGTGACGATGTGTGTATGACGTAATAATATCAACCTACCTTTCTCATTTAGGGTAAGAGTTTTAATACATGTCTCCAACTCATCAAATCTCTTCTTTGTCAGAGCTTCTTTCTCTTCAGTTTGTTTTTTGTATGTTTCTAGTTTTTCGATTTTCTTCAACATCTGTTTGGAATCTCCATCTTGTGTTTCCATCTGTTTCTTCAGGTTCTCTAATTCCTGTTTTGCAAGGTCGTGATCTTTATGTAAGTCTTCTAGCTGATGTCTTGTCTTGTCTTGTTCTGTCATCAGATTGGTTTTATTTTTACCTGTATGATAAAATTACTTACAATTCAATACTATTACCTGTATAATATACTATAATACACAGTTACACAAGACAAACCCACGGACATAACACAATATACATAGACAAATGATCAGAAATGGGGTTTAACGTCCGACTTTTTTGTTCCGACTGGGCTAATGAAGACGGGCATACGCCATATAGTGTGCTACGAGGGAAATTTTGCCCAGGCAGCGGCATTACGGCCCTCTCTTACATATCCAACTGCCAGGGGATCTTTCTCGTTTAGGCGAATGTGTACACGGGGCCTCGGTTTTTTCGTCCCATCCGAACGACTATACATTTTCCCTTGCCCACCGTCCTACATCACTAACACGCGTATACCACGCCGGAAAATACCGACGAACTTACTCGGCCAAGGCAGGGATACAACATGGGACATCCAGTTTAACGAGCCAATGTCTTACTCACTGAGCCACCGTGGCTCCAATATACGTAGACATTTCAAATAAAAAAAACTATAAGCTATAAGCTATAAGCGTCCACTACCTTCAATCCCTAATCCCTGGCCTATCGTGATATAGACTTCACTCAAAATAAAATCAAACTAAGAATAATGGAAACAATTAAAAAAAAAAACGGGGAATATTTCCGGAAGGTCGTATCATACTGGTGAGAGTCATGATCGGTCGACAAGAAATCTCAATGTCAGCATATTGAGCAAGAAACAGAACTGAATTAAAATACATGAAAGCCATTAAACGTATGCAACCAGTCTTGACGGCGGTCGTCTGCTAAATGACGTTACACAAAGGTGGTCGTCTGCCAATTGACGTCACAAGTTAGAATGTAAAAAGCGCCAACAATAATAAGGGAGATAATCCAGTTATAGTAAGATATTGTATCGTTCATAGTATCAATCTTTCTTATTTTGTTATAATCACATACAGTATATTGTCATGTTAATAAAAGGCATCTGTTGTAGGCCTAATTTAATAAAGATAAGAAAAAAATATTAGGGATCCATCATTTATATTTTCTATGATGTTAAATGTCTAAAAGGGTAGCAATTAACGATCTTTAATCATAGAACTAATAAAACTAATTTCTGGCAAAAATCAGATTCATTTAAACAAATAAGAACAGAACCGGTACGTTTGTATTTTTATATTTTTATAAGTTGTCAATGTTTATTTATATATAGTGTGTTGTTCTTGTTTAAAATAGAAATAAACTTACCATTCGTGGTGTTTTCTAATAAATTTACCATTTCTCTGTAACCTAGTTCTCGTAAACATAGGATGAATTTACCATAGACATCACCACAGTTTAAGATATACGTCACTAGCTTGTCAGCAGCTTCCCAGCGACCCTGTTCAGCGGTCATGTAAATTTTCTTTATTTCGTCCTTTTCGTCTAAGTTGAATACGTTTTTTTCAAATAATTTATTACCAAGCCTTACTGGTTCCTTGATTTGATCCACCAGGTAGCAGAAATTGGCTTGGCTTTTCCTATAGTGTTCTTCCGGCATTCGACCTTTCTGTTTTACTGAAATAATTTATTACACATCATCAAAATGAAATGTCAATAACGTTTCATGTTTTGATGTCGCGCCTCGTGTTCTTATGATTCAAGTATGGTTAAATGGACAATAAACCCCCTCCCCACCTCTAAATACTAAACAGTAAGTGGTCATCTCGTAAGCAACGTTTCATCTTTTAAGTTTATATCAAATCAACACGTTCATTGTGTATGTTGTTCTAAATTAACATCTGATATATTTTATATGTAAACTGTTCAGATCACGTGAGTTTATTGACCAATCAAATTGTGTTTGATTATATCTGGCCTGAAGTTAAAGAACAAGAAATGAAATGAAATGAAATGGGGTTTAACGTTCTACTCTTCTGCACCTAACCTGGGCTAATTGAAGACGGGCATACGCCATACAGTGTGCTATGAGGGAAATTTTGCCCGGGCAGCGGCGCTACGGCCTACTCTTATATCGAATTCCAACTGCCAAGGGATCTTTTACGTGCACGCCAATGTGTACACGGGACCTCGGTTTTTCGTCCCATCCGAACGACTAGGCAGCTGTCCTTGTCAGGCCCTCCGTTCTGCATCACTGACAAGGGGAAACCACGCCGGAAAATCGAGATGAACTTTCTCGGCCAATGCAGGGATCGAACACCCGACCTCCAGGCTAGCGAGCCAGCGCCTTACCCACTTAGCCACGTGATCCCCTAAAGAACAAGAGCCATTTAACCAGCCGAGAGAAAATAATATTGTGAATCTAAGAGTAAAGTAGGTAGATTATCATTCTACTTACCTTGGTAGCTCGACATCTTGATATCAGATTTTTATTATTTGTATTCTGTTCCTAGATAGGTATCTTACTTCACCTGGTCTTTTATCTTAAAAACAAGAAACATCGAATAAAATCTAAAGTAGATTCTGGTATTAAGGAGGTAGAGAGCCGGGTCCGTATTCAAAGGTTTTCTTAAAGTTAAAGATGCATTATGTAAGATTTAGATAAAGAGCTAGCCATTCTTGCTATAATAGTTCGAAAAAAGATAAATGTAAAATGAATAATTTGAAAATTTCATTCAAATTATTATATTGCGAGACGTGTGCAATAAATTCAACTACCGTAATGGTTGTTCGAAGCAAAGTCTCGCTCCTCCATTTTTAGATTAAATCAAAATATGGCTGAACTGTTCTAATCTATTTAATATCGGAGAAATGCGATGCCATCGAGAGTTAATTAAGGCATGGATCAATTGTTTAATGTCTAATTAATAATTTAGAAAAAATTTCAGGCCTAAAGAAAGACCTGCATTAGGCAGATTTAGCTCATGCATAATGTATGTTTAAGAAAAAACTTAATTTTTCGAATTAACCAAGTATGTTACCTTAAATCGGTATTCAAAGGCTGTATTTTACATATCCTTGGCTATGTGAAAATCGTAACTGCACATAAATGCCAGTAAACGCCAAAAAGCATGAATTTCTAACTTATTGAATAATTTCCATTCCATTGCCACAATTCACAACTTTCTAACTTCGAAGGCCAGTTATGTCCCCTTAAGACCGCTAATATACTATTAGTACTATCAAAATGTCGAGATAATTTATTGTAAAACATGAAAATATCATGACTGTAAATGACAGTACAGATATTAAATATACAAATAAAATAAATAAACTAAAATATAAATAAAACATACTTGTAAACATTGAATTAAACTTCAAATCTTATAAATAAATAAAATATTTTAAGTCAAAGTAATCTCTTACTGCTCTCTATAAATATGGACTAGAAACCTGACAGCTATTATCAGTTGAAAATCAATAATATTCTGTGTCTCAAAAACATGTACACAATATGTATCAATATCACGTCAGTCGGATAATTTATGATTTTAATATATCTATCCTAATAATGTTTTAAAAATCTTTTCTTTTTTTTTTACAAATGTCCCAGATTTTCTTCTTAAAATTGTTTAATACTGTTCTTTATATTTTTTGCCCCACCCCAACCCCTCCAAACCAAAGCACACACTCTGGGGAATAATTTACGTATAAACTATGAAGATATAAGGTAATCCTCAAATCGCTTCTGAATTACTTCGATTGGCAGAGGTTCGTTTATTGGTCAATTTTTAGGTAATGATTACTCATACATAGCCTTTTATATATAGTGACTGTTGGTCTTTAAAAACAACTGCCTGGGATTCGTACCTAGATTGAAGTTAAAAACTTATGTTCTATTAAACAAAATATTCAATATTTCTATTATTTAAATTGTGTTATTCGACCAGAGTGTACTTCAGATTGAACTAAATTGAATCTTTTTTTTATAAAATTGTTTTTGACATTACGCTGTTTTTCTTTGTAATTTTCCCTTATAGCACACTGCATAGCGTCTGTCTGTATTCATCAGCCACGTTTAACCAGAAAGTTAGCTTGCTTGATAAACAATGTCGTAGTTTAGATACTATAAAATATATAAACTAAAGAGAAACATGTTCTAATTCATAATAAAAAACATTTGAAATTTAGGGGATCTTAGCACCGTACGTTTACTTTGGAATGACGAAAAAGACCTTCCATAACGGGAGCAAAACACTTCGAAACCCGTTTCAAAAATACGTTAAAAGTGTCAAATCGCAATCTCTCCGATTTAGTTTGTACGACGAATGTTATATTCCTAATATAATTAGTTGGTCAAAAAGCAATTCGTGGATTTCCGGGAATCCCAATCTGGGAAAACTGACTTGGCGACGTGATCAAAAGTGTGAAAATATATTATGAGTGTTCATGAATTTCACCGTAACATGGACATCATGCTGAGACCCCCTAAAGATCAATTTTAAATGTTCCTATTATTAATTAGAAATGAAATGAAATGAAATGGGGTTTAACGTCCTACTGTTTTGCTCCGAACTGGGCTAATGAAGACGGGCATACGCCATACAGTGTGCTATGAGGGAAATTTTGCCCGGACAGCGGCACTACGGCCTACTCTTATATCGAATTCCAACTGTCAAGGGATTTTTTACGTGCACTCCAATGTGTACACGGGACCTCGGTTTTTCGTCTCATCCGAATGACTAAACAGCTGTCCTTGTCAGGCCCTCCGTCCTGCATCACTGACAAGGGGGAACTACGCCGGAAAATCGGGATGAACTTTCTCGGCCAATGCAGGGATCGAACACCCGACCTCCAGGCTAACGAGCCAGCGCCTTACCCACTTAGCCACCGTGATCCCCTTATTAATTAGAACAGGTTTTTATATTTTATGCTGACGTGAAATCTTCCTAGTGCAAAAACGGAAAAGTTGAGTTTTTTTACCCCCGGAGTTAACATAAACAAAGGCGAATTTAGCAAGTTTACATTTTTATTGAAAGAGAGATTAGTTTCGATCATTTTCAGCATGTTTTCATGATATAAGAATGGCTGCCTATCCACTATCAGTGTAAATGACCTCATTTGACCTATGACCCCGAATATCCCGAAAACGCCGCCACAGTGGATATATTTCCACTCGGCATTTTATTCTACGCACAATTTTACTATAGAAAAGTTTGTTCTGGTTTTGTGCCCATTTGGTGGACATGCACTTTCCCCGCACTGAACCCCGGTCTAGTATAAAAACAACAAAACGTCTACTTGACAAAAACTAGGTAATGTCGGGACTAAAATGTGGTTTAATTTATTTCAATAACTTGCTGGTGTCTAGGGTTTTTTAGTATAGAGGGGGGGGGGGCAGAGGACCCAGCGAAAAATGTTAGATGGAGTTACCATAGAAACCAGATATAGCAAAACGAAGTCTTGATACTCATTTCTGTATGGGTATGACATCTTCATTTCATAAATCCAGTCGGTACAGAAAAGTCAGGACGTACGAACAACTAAAGTTATAATAAAATTATTTTACCTGTACTTAGCTTCAGATGTTCATATAAAGGTATCGGCCCGGTGTCTCGTTTCAGGTATAGTAGATGTCGTGTTCTAGGTAGGTGTCTTGTTTCAGGTATAGTAGATATCTTGTTTCAGGTAGAGTAGATGTCTTGTTCCAGGTAGAGTTGATGTCGTGTTCCAGGTATAGTAGATGTCTTGTAGTAGGTGTCTTGTTCTAGGTATAGTAGGAGTCGTGTGCCGCCAGGTATAATAGATGTCTTGTTTAAGGTATCACACCTTATATATAAATATTTTAACCAATACCTTTTAATATCCATATATGGACAAATATTGAATGTGTTTTGATTGGTTAGAGATATGTTACGTCAGGTTGAAACTTTGTCTGGATTATTATCAATAGATTTAACCCGTCTTATCTAACCTTGACACTTTCATGATATAATATATAAATACAACAATACTTTGATTACTGTGTCAACTATTTTTTTTAATGTTTTTATCATCAATAATGTTATAAGGTACTATATATGGACTGATGACTCTTCTAATTATCTTCTTTCCAGCAGCTTCCACTTTCAAATCCATGTCAAAAATATCGAGTCAGTGATGGGTACCGTGCCGTGTGTGATTACTGTTTCCGCAACGCTTGCCACAATTTCTGATTTGAGGAGTTCACATCCATATATTCATACAGAGCTCCCCTCCATTCATTCATCACATTCGTGCCTTAGTGTTTGCTACTGTAGCCTCGAGTGGTAACTCTCCAAATTTAGCCATACGGGACCCAGAGGCTTAGCCGTGAAATATATATTGGGGGTCCACAAATGAAATTATATAAAATGTTGACAATCTGTGACGCCGGAGGTACGAGGCTGTGCAGCAGCTGATGTAGCGCGATAGAGAGTGTGTAGGTGGCGGGGGGGGGGCTCTCCCGGACACCCCTCCCCCCCCATGTGTGACGCCCATTAGGGACCAAGGGATCCTATTAGGCAGTATTTTGTAACTACATCAACAAATTTCAAAATCAGGCTTAGAACTGGACGAAACCAATAAAAAACTGAAACAAGGCAGCGATTCCGTAACTGATAGGCTAATAAATCCATCCAAGATGAGCGAGCTGAAGAACGTCTGTAAGTTGACCGCTTGATGAGTAGATTGAAGAACGGTGACGGGTTGATGAGCGAGCTAAAGAATGTCATTAAGTTAAAGATACATTATGGAGGATATGATAAAGAGCTGACTGGTCGCACTATAATAGTTAAAAACTAGATAATGTTAAGGGAATATGCTGAAAATTTTAGTCAAATTGCTTAACTTAAAGCCGAGAAAATCTTTTTTTAAAATGACTGTAGCCTCGATTGTAAATGGTACCACTGTCGCGATAATTAAGTTTCGATTATCCATTTTTTGCGGTTAATCATCAATGGGCGTTGAACAGCAGACCGGATTTAAATCTGATGAAAATAGGACGCATAAGATGTCTTTTCATGTTAATAAATGTCTAATTAATAATTTATATAACATTTCAGGCCTAAATTTATGTTTAACGGGGATAAGTTAAATTAACCTTCTAGATAAACCATTTAGAGAGATTTTTTTTATTTTAGAATCTTGTGACAGATAATTTAATCATCTCTTGTATTTTGGTCGATGATAATTACACACTAGTTGTTATCTCTAGATAACACAACTGACTTTGTACATCACGCAATATATTCATAAATAAGATAAAACTTTATCTCATATTTTTAATATTTTATATACGAACATTGCATTCATTATGATCTTTATTGGGTTATTCAAGTGGTGGTTTAAAAACTTTGTCTGAGAATATCTTGAGCGAAGCAGACAAGAAGAACAAGTATCCCATCTTCCACTTCTTTGTTGGCTTAATACCCGGAAACGAGGGACACTTGTCTTAATCGTTAGCTTATGTGTAGTCTAAATTGACTCAGTGCATATCGCCGTTGTACCTACAATTCACTAATTTCTCCTTGGCATATTTGTCCCATTCTTGTATAATAAAAACAATTGAAATTTGTCGCTTTTACCTTTGATGTAAAAGTGTGACACTACGGTGTTGTTAAAAAGATGAATTATCTCTTGACTTCCGCGTTGTGTATACTGGAACACTGTGTTTTTATAACCATGTTTACATATCAAATACAGGAAACCACATCGCCTATGATAGTACATTATGGAACCCTACATTGTCTCTAGCCCAGCCTCGAATAATAATATTCTATTATTCTAATTTGTCGCTTTTACCTTTGATGTAAAAGTGTGACACTACGGTGTTGTTAAAAAGATGAATTATCTCTTGACGTCCGCGTTGTGTATACTGGAACACTGTGTTTTTATAACCATGTTTACATATCAAATACAGGAAACTACATCGCCTATGATAGTACATTATTCAACCCTACATTGTCTCTAGCCCAGCCTCGAATAATAATATTCTATTATTCTAAGAATAATAAATCATGTCGGTTTCCCAGTCTCTCAGCCGAGGGAGAGTACGTTCTTCTAAGAATACTAAATGATGTCTGTGTTCCAGCCTCTCAGCCGAGTAGCCAGTGGGAACGTCCTTCTGAGAATACTAAATGATGTCTGTTTCCTAGCTTATCAGCCGGGGAGGCTGTGGGAATGTACTTCTAAGAATACTAAATGATGTCGGTTTCCGAGCCTCTCAGCCGAGTAGCCAGTGGGAACATATTTCTGAGAATACTAAGTGATGTCTCTCTACGAATACAAATGATGTCTAAAAATACCTTAGAGTCCTAAAGGTGGCAAGAGCCAAACACTTCTTGATATGTTGTCGCCCGGCATGTATGTCTCACTAGGCGGCAACCCACATGACGTCTCTCCTAGGATCTGTAACTGATGTCTAAGGAAACTTAAACCCCGCGCGTTCTTATAAAAATATGTGCATAAGTCATGGATTGAGCTCCGGGAAACGTTGTTCAGATCATGTGAGCCTGTGGTGACGCAGACTTCACTCAACAAATTAACAACAATATGGAGACAATCTACAAACGAAATCATTCTTTAAACATTTTATGTTATGATCGTCTGTGTATTTATAAATACAAGGAATATCAATACAGATGAGGCAAAGGACAAAGTTCAAAACAAGGGGAAGTAAACGGTACTCTTGTAGTAGGCCTAGCTATGGATGAATTGAGTATTAAATCCAGCAAGTGATTCAGGAGAAGCACTTGAAATTTGGACAGTTAAAGAAAAAGAGTTATGTCAAACGACTGTTGGCCTGTTGCAATGGAGTAAAGTATCTAGGGCACTTATCGTGATTACTTGCCATCTTTATAATGTGTTCTGGATTAAGGTGGTGGAGACCTGACCCGTGTGGTGAAGACCTGACCTGTGTGTGTAGACCTGACCTGTGTGGTGGAGACCTGACCTGTGTGGCGAAGACCTGACCTGTGTGGTGGAGACCTGATCTGTGTGGTGAAGACTGACCTATGAGTTCTGCTATTAAGGAGATAAAGACCTGACCCATATCTCCTGGGTTTCATGTCGTGGAGACCTGACTTGTATGGTCGAAACATTGTCTTAGGATAGAGACTTGACCTGACCTGTGTGGTAGATACCCCGCCTTGGTAGAGAGAGACATGACCTGACCTGTGTGGTCTTGGTTTCTAATAAAAATAATTTTCGCACAATGGACTGAACATGCAAAGTAAAAATGCTAGTGTTAACTATTCTTTTAGTCGCGTCTAAATTTTAGTCACATTTTAAAGAACTCTTGTGTTTATTTTATAATTGACTATGTTTTATATGGTCGTGTATAATCACCAGACAAGTAAATATTATTATTTTAATATTTTAAACTTGATCAATATCACCAATAAAAACAAATAGATAATACATTTATACAAGAATCACCTATGTTACTTAAACAGTCAGGAATTAAATTTTAGGTTATAATTAAAGATGCTTCTGGAGCTGTTAAGATGCTTCTGGGGCTGTTAAGATGCTTCTGGAGCTGTTAATGATGGTCCTGGAACTGTTAAAGATTGTTCTAGAACTGTAAAAGAAGAGTTAAAGATGGGAGCTGTTAAAGATAGTTCTGGAACTGTTAAAGATAGTTCTGGAACTGTGAAAGATAGTTCTGGAACTATTCAAGATAGTTCTTTAACTGTTAAAGATAGTTCTTTAACTGTCAAAGATAGTTCGTTAACTGTTAAAGATGACCCCGGAACTGTTAAAGATAGTTCTGGAACTGTTAAAGATGATTCTGCAGCTGTTAAAGATGGTTCCGGCTGATTGTCTTGGTACATTGAGAAGCAGTCGGTGGCACCATTATTTTAATCAAACTGCAGTCAGCTCACCTTATGTTCTGTACAGAGCCTAAAAATTCATATTTTAACTACAAACCAGGGGCCTTAATTATGAACCTTGAAATGATGTATTTTAAGGATACTTTTGTTTCATTGGTCAAGGTTTTATTGTCTCGACCAATGAAAGAAATGAGCCTTTTTAAAACGGGCAAGGTTTGGGTTTTTTGTAGTAAGGTTTCTTTTCAAACTAAAAATGAAGAATTCGATTTCCAACTCATCTACAGGAAGTAAGACTGATTGATCATGGACCGGTGTAGAAATAATAGTTTTATCTGTACATGTATCGGATAGTCCTATTTCGTTTCGTTTTGTATAGTTCAAAACTTTGTTTTACTTGTCTTCACTATACTAGGATTAAGAAGGGTTGTTATACAACGTTTGTTCGCCGTGATGTGAAGGATTAGCCAATCAAATGGTCTGCTGATTCGAGCTTTTATCGTGCAGAACTGTCGGTAGACTTATGCAGCAATAGAAAATAAATCGAAGCCACTACAACCGGTCAGATTTTAATGTACATGTAGTGAAGGCCATCGAAAGTATTAAAATAAATCATACGACATGTAGATCTATATTTTAATCAGGTTGGGTTGATCTTAAAAATGAATGAATTAATTAATACTGTCCTTACATGAATCAGCATTCAATCTCTCTGAAAAATACTTAATAACTTAATTTTTGGAAGGTGACTATGTATTAGGAATGAGATATATTTAATCCAGACATGTTCGTGGTCTTACTTCACATCAGTTTCCAGTATATCTAGATTGTAAATCTGAAATAAAGTAATGGGCGCGTCTTATATGATATATAACCCTTATTTAGTAATGGTAATGAAATTAAGTAATGAATGTGTCTTATTAGTAATGGTAATGAAATTAAGTGATGAATCTTTCCAGCGGTTTGCTGAAAGAGAGATATTTAGA